GCGGACAGGAGTTGAGCGGACAGGAGTTGAGCGGACAGGAGTTGAGCGGACAGGAGTTGAGCGGACATGGCTTGAATGAACAGGAGTTGAGCGGAGCGGTGTTGGGTAGAACTGAGTTAAGTGGAGTGATGTTGAGTGGAATTGAGAAAAGTGGAGCTGTGTGAAATGGGTTGGTACAGTTTGGCGGTGCAGATCAGGCTGGTGCTTAGCGAGGTAAGCAAGGGTGTAAAAAATGTTTCAATTTGACTATATGCCCAGAGTATTTTTGTTTTCTATGAGGTAGATTGTCGTGAATAAATACCTGGGCCACTCCGAGTTTATTCCGCTAGTTTGTTATACAATTTTACCAACTAGTAGTTTCATTTTGACTACTGAGTGTAAACTAAGCGCAAACTGCGACTTTCAGTACACCTAAAGGAACTGTAGATAAATAGATGATGTATTGTACGGTGCAGTGCAGAAGAGATCCGGGAACAGAGTATACGTACAAGAGGAAATAAAGTGATAAGCGGGACCCTGAAGGCAACGGTTATGGGTTCTGGAAGGAAGGGGGAAAAGATTGAAGATCTTGACTGAATGGAAAACAGATATTGTGGAAGGAAAGAGGGGACGTGTAATGGAGAGAGGAAGAGGGAAGACGTTAGCGAAGAGATATGACGGTGCCTGAATTGAAAATCTTTAAATTAAAATAAATGAATGTAGAACATCATTTGTAGGAAAGCTCTGTATCCGGCAGAGATATTAGCAGAGTTTTCGCATTTATTACATTGGGCTGTTCTGTGAAAATTAAACTTAACAGGCGTCGCAAGTTTAATCTAGAAAGAAGTAAAGATTAGCAATCCTATCTAATTAGGGAAAGTACTTTCAATTTAAAAGTTATTTGTATATTTTTTATCGTTACATCTTCTCAGCAGAAGAAAAGAATAATAAAAATGTTTCGTTTGAAACACGCGGTGCGTATTTTATTACGAGACTCTGCTAGAAGATTTCCAGTTCGTTTAAGTGAGAGAGATGATCCTAAAATGATAAATAGTTGAAGGAAGATCCACCGTTCGGTGTACGTAACATTTGAAAAAGTAAATTAATTAAATGAAGCAAATAGTTTTTGTCGTTGTATGTACTTCAAAACATCTTTAGCATGCGATAGCGGTGAGTTGATGTGTAGAAGATTCAAAAGTGGATAATTAAATACATAATAGGACAGAAACAATGTATTTTTATTAGAAAGAGAAACTAGGCAGGGAGAATGACACATTTAAAATATTAATAAGATATTAGAAAGAGTAAGGCACAGCAAGGTCTCAATAGACAGATATTTATTAATTATGCAGGTAGGTTTATACAACATTATGGCGAAACACTATAATTTAGAAACATTACAATTAGGGATACTTATGTATATAAATTTAATATAACTATTTTTAAAACAATAATAACAAATTAAACACATGCTTATACGGAATGTAGTTTTATAAAATATTGAACCCATAATTTTTTTAAACGAATACGCACTGAAAGGTTAAAGTATCAACAATAACAATAATAACATCAATAATAATAACAATAATAATAGTAATAAAAATAATAGCAATAAATGAATGTATATGACCATGTTATTCAGATGTTTAACTTTTAAATACGTGCACTGCACAGCACTTCACAACGCTATCTTGAACATCACTTCTCTTTCTTATTACTTCACACTATCCAGCAACAAAATTAAATAAAAAACGATGGAGCAATTTTGAAAGTAACTCAAGGGCTTCATGAAAAGTATCGACCAAAATTAAAATATTTCTCGTTGGGAAGGCAACAAGTTTGCCGGGCTGTAAATTACGTGTCGAATATGCGTTCGTAGGCTTCCGCGGCCGAATTCAATACAATCTTGGCTATCCGGGTCGAATCGCGTCTCGGTCAATTGTGCTGACGTTTCGGCCATCTTGCTCATCCGGGATAGCCAAGAATGTACGTTTCGCGCAGGTTTGCTTCGGAGCTGGGAGTGAAGGGAAGTGGCGAGGTAGGTAGCGGGGGGCAATATTAGATACAGGAAGAGGGGGCTGCACGGAGGAGTGACCGGGCTGAGGCAGCTCGAGGCACGAGCAGAGGGGGAGCCCTGGAAATCAGAGACAAAGACGTGGGGTTGGTAAGAAGAGGCGACGTGCAGGCAGCGATAAACGCGCAGGAGCGGGGGGTGGTTGAAGTCACAACGTGGAGGCCGGTGGCGGTTGGCGCAAACACACGACGTTGTTAGCGAGAGGGGGAGATGAGGGAACAGTGTGGGTGAAACGATTTACTTGTTGTGGGAGCGGCGGCGACGGCGATGGCAGAGAGAGAACGGTATGGCGGAGGTAGTGAGGGCGGTGGGGAGGCGAAGGCGGAGGTGGCCCCCCCCCGCCAACCCTTCCGTCACCGTTTCCCCCAATAGCCCTCGCCGCTGCTGCCCTACTGTCACTGTCACTGTCATATATTGCCCTGTCTCTCACCACACCCGCCACCACCATCGCCAGGTCGATTTTGCACACCTTCCGCCTTCGCCTCCCACCGCCCTCACTACCTGCCGCCATACGTTCTCTCCTCTGCAATCGCCGTCGCCGCCGCTCCACAACAAGTAAATCGTTTCAACCCACACTGTTCGCTCTCTATCTCCCCTCTCGCTAACACGTCGTGTGTTTGCGCCAACCCGCCACCGGGCCTTCCACGTTGTGACTTTCAACCACCCCCGCTCCTGCGCGTTTTCGCTGCCTGCACGTCGCCTCTTTCTTAACCACCCCACTTCTTTGTCTCTGTTTCAGGGCTCCCCCTCTCTGCTGCCTCGAGCTGCCTCAGCCCGGTCACCCTCCGTGCAACCCCCTCTTCCTGTATCTAATATTGCCCCCCGCTACCTACCTGCGCACTTCCCTTCACCTCCCAGCTCCGAAGCAAACCTGCGCAAACGTACATTCACTTGGCTCCGCATGAGCAAGATGGCCGAAACGTCAGCACAAATTGACCGAGACGCGATTCAACCCGGATAGCCAAGAATACATTACGACTTCCGGCCGCGGAAGCCCTCTTACGAAACGCATATTCGACACGTAATTTACAGCCGGCAATTGTTGCGTTCCAGACGGAGAAATATTTAATTTTGTCGATACTTTTCATGAAAGCCTTGGTTACTTTCAAATTGCTCCATCGTTTTTTATAAATTTTGTTGCTGGATAGTGTTGAAGTAATAAGAAAAGAGAAGTGATGTTAAGTGGTGTGCAGGGCACGTGTTTAAAAGTTAAACATCTGAATTAACATGTCATAAACATTCATTTATTGCTATTTTATTTTTTATTTTACTATTTATTAAATTGTTTTATTTAAATTGGATTTATTATGTTATATGTTGAATCTTTAACCTTTCAGTGCGTATTCATTTAAAAAAATTATGGGTTCAATATTTTATAAAATACATTCCGGATAAGCATCGTGTTTAATTTGTTATTATTGTTTTAAAATAGTTATATTAATTTATATACAATAAGATCCCAATTGTAATGTTTCTAAATTATAGTGTTTCGCCATTAATGTTGCTATAAACCTACCTGCATAATAATAATATCTGTCTATTGAGACCTTGCGTGCTTACTTTTTCTAATATCTTATAAATATTTATAAATGTGTCATTCTCCCTGCCTAGTTTCTCTTTCTAATAAAAATACATGTTTTCTGTCTATTTCATGTATTTATTATCCACTTTTGAATCTTCGACACATCAATACCGCTATCGCCGCTAAAAGAGTTTTGAAGTACATACAACGAACAAAAAACTATTTGCTTTCATTTTAATTCAATTTACTTTTCAAATGTTAGCGTACACCGAACGGTGGATTATCCTTCCAAACTATTTATCATTTTAAGATCATCTCTCTCACTTAAACGAACTGGAAATTCTTCTGTAGCAGAGTTCTCGTAATAAAATACGGCAACCGCGTTTTTATCAAACGAAACTTTTATTATTCTTTCTTTCTGCTGAGAAGATGTAACGATAAAAAAATATACAAATAACTTTTAAATTGAAAGTACTTTCCCTAATTAGATAGGATTGCAATCTTTACTTCTTTCTTAAGATTAAACTTGCGAGACGCCTGCAACGGGCCATGTTAAGTTTTTTTAATTTTCACAGAACAGCGCCAATGTAATAAAAAATGCGGAAAAACTCTGCTAAATTATCTTCTGCCGGGATTACAGAAAGCTTCCTACCAAATGATGTTTCTTGAAACCCATTCATTTATTTAAATTTAAAAAGATTTTTTTTTCAATTGTCCAGGCCCACCCCGTTTTCAATATTTTCTTCTTTTTTCGCCTAACGGTTTTTTTTTTCTTTCCCTTTCTTTTCCCTCCGCTTCCATTTTACCCCCCCAACGGTTTCCCCTTTTCTTTTTTCCCTTTCCCAAAAAACCAAAATAATCTGTTTTTCATTTTTTTCAGTCCAAGATCTTCCAATCTTTTCCCCCTTCCTTCAGGAACCCATAAACCGTTGCCTTCCAGGGTCCCGCTATCACTTAATCCGCTCGGTGT